GTTTTTAGCAGGTCCGAGCTGTAAAGGCGCAACTCTGTTCTGGAAAAGGGGGCGGGGAGCGGCAGCTCATTTGCATTTAAAGAGACAGGCCCGAAAAACAGCGTGTTTCTGCTTCCACTCAAAATAGGCATTTTCAAAATGATATAATAAATGATCTGTGGAGTATTTTCAGCTGAAACTTCACAGACACATTCTGGGGACACCAGAGATTTATATTACATATTGTAAAAAGGGGCATAATATGTCTCCTTTAAATATACAGCAGTAGAAATATGGTTTCACTTTGTTTTGATGGTCCCTTTTAACACATTCGGTTGACTATGGCCCTGTCCCAAATGGCACCCTAAACCCTCCCGGTCTTCTTCTGAGTCCACACTTTCGTGACGTAATGCCACTTTGACTGTCGGGTAGAAGTCGCCCCAGTGCGGGCTCGGCAGAAGTGCGGATCGAGGGTGCATAACGGCCACAAAGCTCGCGAGCACCTTTCTGAATGCTAAAATGACAAATGGGACACCCTACGGTCTCGTGGACTTAAATGCCTTGCTTACTGAAATTACATGACTTGGTAAAGATTTGCAAAGTTATCAAAGTGTCATCAAGCAAATCATTAATGCAAGCACTTCCCAATGAATAATGACCTGCCATACCTTTCCCCCTCAGAAATACATCATATTACAAATGCAAAATGGGTTGTGAACACCATTTCTTGTTGATTATATTTGTAATATAATGTTTTTATGGATAATCTGGTCCAAATAATGTACATATTGATAACTGTCGAAATAGTAAAGAGACTTGCATTGAAGAGGAGTGCAGGTACAGGAGTGTAGCGTTCAGCGTGGATCAGGCTTAAGCTGTTGGGAAGGTGGCCTTCTCTCGCCCCCACAAAAAACAACCTAACATGAAAGAACGCAACATTACTATACGCATATATCAAAACTTCAGAGTCCTTGTTGTTTTAACTGGAACTAGAAAGGTTTACCTGGAGGCGGCAATGATGGAGGCATTGAGTCCTCCGTAGCAAGACATGGCCACAGCGATGGGGACGATCCAGCTAATGGGGCCCAGCACCTGATTTCCAAATGTCTACAGATGGGGACACAAACTGACATTTTAATCAAATGATGGCTTAATTTATACAATAAAGTCATAAAGACTAAAAATTAAGATGTCTGATTATCATAAATATCCTTACTACAGCCACTGCATCACTACCCATGAAAGAAGGCATGTCCAGAACGGCATAGTATGCCACGTTGGTCAGTAGGTAGATGATTGTCACTATTGGCATGGAGATGGCTATAGCGATGGGAAGGTTCCTATGAACGATTAAGGAGAAAGATTAAATACTTAGTATGAATAAGGAACATGATGCATTCATTGTTATGTAGCTCTGGATAATGGTGTCTGCTAAATTAATAAATGCAAATGTAAATGTGGAAAGAGAAACATGCCAGGTCTGAAATGTACTTGTGGTGGTAGCCAGTGCAACAAAAATGGTCTACCACAAATAATGTGTGAACTTTAACACAAATTGACTTTAATATTTCTATTAATTAGTCCGCTATTTTGTAATTTAGTCTTATTTTTATTTTTAATTTTTATCTTATCAAATAGTCTAGTTTTAGAATGTTTGATGTATCTTAGAAAGCATGAATGCATTTATACTGCAGTTACTTCATGAATAATGTTATGAGAGTAATGTTTTAAGTTAAAAAAATATGAATATCGAAATGAAACGATGAGTCCGACTGGAGCCCGTGTCTTTTTTCTCTCTCTCTTCCCCATTACACAGCTGCTGTTGCAGCCATTAAAATAGTTCAGTTTCGGTTTTTAACGGCAAAGTGGTAATATTTCTTTTTGTTTCTTTATTAAGTTAATTTAGAAATATGTTTGGAACATTTTATGTTTGTTAAATTCAGGTTTTTGTTTTTTAAAGGAACGGTCCAGCGGCCAGCGTCAGACAGTGAGTTGAGCATATGTTTGATCAATTTAGCCTTCTCAAATCAACACGACGACTTGCCTAAAATACAATCTATAGACATAAAAGACTTTGTACATTTCACAGTATTAAGTTAAACATTTAACCTAGATAAATGTGCGCTGTTAGGCGCATATGCAATCGTTTGTGCAGAGAGTGGAAGCTGAATCGTGCTTTGCAGGACATGGGAGGCGCCAGTGCGATAACATGCATTTTTTTAATAACAGTGGAAGCTTAAAAATATGCCGTCATTTTTGCTCATAAAGGTAAGAGTATACATCATTCGGAACTGCAAAGGGTCTACTTGTATTTGTGTGCACTCACAATATCAACAAAACCTTGTGCTTTTGTAAAATAAGGAAAACAAACACTTTCTGATGCGCTTTCTGCCGTCTCTGTCTTGAGCAGGAGCGCCTCTCAATGATGAACTGAAACTCAGCGAATACTTGCCTTACCGACATGATAAATATATCTAAATAATGCATAATGCTTTAAATTACTATTTTAAAATGAAATAATTCAAATCGAAAACAAAAACTCTTTCATTATGTAATCCGTAAAGATGCATTTCTCTCTAAAGGCAAAAAAAAAAAGTCCGTGGCATCCATAGTTCTTCACATTTAACATAAAAACAGCAATAAAATGTAGACTTATTGACGTTTTTTAAAACTCTGATTGATCGATTTCATGAGATATTCGTTTGTATTAAATTGTTCAGATTTTTTTTCAAGCATGCATTCAAATATTCATGTTTATTTCATGCTGCAAATATTAAAGAGGAAAATTTTATTGATTCATATGCCGCTTGAACGGAGGCGAATTATCTCACTACATATTAAAGAGCGTAAAAACACATTTATTTGTGAATTTTATCATAAAATTGACAGAAGGCTGAGACTTTGTAGTAACAAAGCACAAAGCTGCGATTATTGAGTGGCTTGCATGCTACAAATAATGAATGGACTTTAAACTTTAAATATAATTTCCAAGCATTTAGCCTATACCGTAAAACAGCTCACGATTCACGTAACGTTAATTACTTCAGAAAAATCAACAATAGGGACCAAGTTAAGTTAACCGAGTTGAAGTCCATAATGTTTGGGGGGTACAATTTTTTTTGCATATGGGCCCGGGGCTGGCTTGCTACGCCACTGCATTCAACCTATTTGTTCAAAAAGGCCTCAGGAACTACACTCTTAAAAATAAAGGTGCTTCACGATGCCATAGAAGAAACATTTTGTCTAAATGGTTCCATAAAGAACCTTTCTGTTTCACAAAAGGTTCCTTGTGGCGAAAGAAGGTTCTTCAGATTATAAAAAGGTAAGAAAGAGATGGTTCTTTGTGGAACCAAAAATGGTTCTTCTATGGCATTGCAGTGAAGAACCTTTTAAGCACCTTTATTTTTAAGAATGCAAGCCAGTGGCAGTGACTAACTTTACATATGGGTCATTGAATCATTCGCTCAACCGATTCATTCAAAATGCAGATTCATTTAGAAATGAGACAGTTGGCCTAATTTATTTTTAATTTTGTACAATTTGCATATTTATTTATGAAGACAAAGCTCCACCAGATTCATAACAGGTGCGTACGCACATCAGTTTGTTATTACCCTCATTCAGTGTTAATGAATCTGGATTATTGAAATTGCGGGACTGCAGCTAGTATCTAATGTGTTTTTTGAACATTAAAGTATGTCAACATATTCTGTTACACCAAATACACAAAATAATGATCTTTAAAAAAGCATCATATGACCCCTTTAAAACATGCCCCCCAAAAAAGTACATATAAGGGCTTTCCACACAACGTTACCTCTCTTTTATGTAGGCCTAGACTTCATGCAGTTGTGTTTCAGACCTTTCATTTGCCAGGCTACATTTTGTCATCATGTTATTTTTATTTTATTCTATATATTGTTACTCATAAAAAAAATATGCTTTTGTAGAGTCATATAATTGCCTTAAATGACTGGTTTCTAAGGCCACCAGGAGTATGTGATTTTTGTACACAGATGCACAGTTACTGAATGAGAACATAATATTAAAATGACAATATCCAGTTAAATGGGGGAAAAATGGATATGCTGACACCTCTCAGGGTTCTGGATCTCCTCAGTAACAAAGTTGAGCGTGTCCCAGCCAGAGTAGGAGAACAGAGCCGAGTAAAGAGCCAGGGCAATGCTGCCCGCCTCCGTGGAGGAACCCTCGAATGGACTAATGAAGTTCTTTGTTTCTCCTGTGGTGCACACAAGGAAGTATGAGAAACACAGAGAGAAAATTATAAGACTGAGCAGTATGAGAAACACCCTGAGATCTCTAGTTAATTAGATATTAATCTTTTCAAACAACAAGTGTAGGCGAAACCTGAAAATGATTAAGAGCTACTTCCTTGCTCATGCTATCTCAATTCCTCTTATTAACTGTAACAAATCCACCCCTTCAGTATCCTGGAGAAACTACTTTTACCGTTAATTATTTTAATGATGCCCACTGTGATGACGAGGAGCAGAGACATGATCTTGGTGTACGTGAAAATATCTTGAACCAAAGTGCCCCACTTCACGTAAGCACAGTTTATGAAGATCAGAATACCTGAGAAAAGAGAGATAAGGAGGAGCACATTAAATATAGTATGAAGTCAGCTGTGTGAGAATCAGAACATTTTAGTCAAAAGATGACTCACAAGATATTACATAAGAGGTTGTTTTTTTGTTTTGCTCTTATTTTCTCAGAAACCACAGCAGGCACTGTCCATGAATACAGTACACTATAGTTTCCCAATACTTTTTTATAAACGTTTTTTTAAATGAGAACTATTCAGTAGGTTATATAAACTTTATTGTGTTACGAAATCAGTATCAAAAACGTAATGCTTTGTCCCATATTTTATACAGCAGAATGATTTTACAAAAGGATTTTTACAATTGTGACAATAAGTAATGTTACACAAATTTACACAAAGCTCAACCATTTTCCTAATGTTATTATAAGAAAAATATTAAAGGGGTCATATGAGCTTGTTGTTTGTCATTTCTCCGATCACAAATGCAGACATGGTTTTATGTTTACGCGGCGCGATGTATATGTCATTATAATCCGTCCCCACTGGATGCCACAAATGCCTTGTTTATAATGGGTTTTAATGTTTTTGAATCGTTTCTCCGGCCGGACAGGGCATCACAGTATGGTAAGGGGCGTAACATTTCCGTCACACGCTTGAGGTATCCGGCCAATCACAACGCACTGGATAGCTGGCCAATCAGAGTACACCTCGCTTTTCAGAACGATGAGCTTTGTAAAAATCGACGCGTTTCAGAAAGGCGGGGCATAGAGGAGAAACAATAATGTACAGTATGTGGAAAATAATGTTGTTTTGAACCTTAAACCGCATAAACACATTTCATTACACCAAATACACAAATAATGTTCTTTTTAGCAACATCATATGACCCCTTTAAACAAATAATTTTTTTTTTAATTTATAGGAAATATAAATGTATGTGTAACTACAAACAACACTTGGTCCCATTTTTACATTTTACACTTTAAGAAAAGCCCATAAAAATAGGGGCCAACGTACTTTTTTTTAACATGAACATTTCAATCCTGATTTTTCCCACGGGTGTTCACCCATTATTTTAATTACACATTGCATTGTGTTGTGTTTCAGGGTTGAAGAAAATAAAATTAAATCAAAATAAAATTAACAGATCATTTCCTGGCAGAAAAGTACTATTACTTTTTTTAAAGTTACTTTTAAAGTTTATTAAAAAACAAAAAATAAACAAATAAATTGTGGTAACAGTTTAGCAAAAATTGCAAACATTATATAAGACATATATAAAATAAATCAGCTCATATAATATGTTGTTTGATCTGAAGTTGAGAATCAACATTTTCTGAAGGTTAAGCAATAAGCATTGATATTTGCCAAAAAGAAACAAACGATTGTTTTTGCAGATTATTTTTGTTTTGTCCCATTCTTGGAAAGTGCCAGGTCCCATCTCAGTTAGCACGTGAATTGTGTGTGTTGCACAGTCTGTCCTCATGCACTGGTAGATCATGTCCCTGCCTTCGGAGAACACATTTAGCTCTGACTGGAAACTGTGTGAAGGCAACAGCTGCTGAGAAGGAAAGAGAAACAAAAACACCTCCTCTGTCTCGTGTACAAAAGCGAAAATTGGGCAAATCGGAGAAAAGTGCCACATTCATCCTTGTTCTGCTTTCACTTTGTTCAAACTCTGCTTTAGAACCGAAAGAAATCTACATAGGCCTTTAACAAAAACCATTACAAATGAATGTACTCACTCAGGCTTAGACAACACGAGTCACCAACAAAAAAGTTCATGGGTTTTTTGGACCTGTTATAGTGATACCATAGTATCCTTTGACGTACCTTTCAGTACCATGTAAATATAATAATGCATGAACATGGTAATCATTCATATTACCATCTGAATTCATTGCTGTAGCATGGCACCATCACTTTTTTGTAAGGGACGTGTTGTTGATCTTTCACCCAAATACCAGTGTCTGCAATAGTCAAGCCAGCGCCAGCGGAGTCACAGAAAAAAAGATTTGTGTGTTACTAAAATTATTTGTGCTACTGAAAACTAAATTGGTTATCAAGGTGTCACAACAAATAGTGCAGAAGTGTTAAGATAATAGAAATATGTACTCAATATGCGCTACGGTGAGACCGGTTAATCATGCTTGTTTGTTTCTCATCTTTCTCGACACATATAGATTATCTTGCTTAATCATGCAGGGAACTGTGCCGTGTGTTGGATGCCTAAAGTTATTTACTATTCAAACGTGATGAAAAGCACATTTCATTAGGGGTCATGTGATGATCTCTTGTGGAACTAGATGCTATAAGGAAGTGTGTGCCAAACAGAACCACAAAACAACAGGTCTACACTACAGCAGGAGTAATAACTGTGCAATGCTATACTCAGGTATTAGAAAAGAAAAACATCATTTTTGTGTAATGAAGGGCCTACTTTATAGATATTAGTATTTGACGGCACATAAGTGCACGTTATTCGAAACGAAAATAAATGTTAGTCTTCACGATCTTTCATTTCATTTAATAGATTGGCTAAAACAACTTCCCTTTTCGGCTGAACGAATTGGTTAATTCTGGCATGGAACGGCCACTTTTCACACTCCAATTTCGTTTTTTCACATTACATTAGGGAAGTACAGTGGTTGTGAATGCCATTTCAGACAAAAGGATATATTGTATGTGTCTGTACGTGAAATTTAATGAAGTAAAAAAAAAAAGGTTTTGTGTGTTGTGATGTGAAAGACGGCAGAAGTGGAAAAATATTTCACTCATGCACACTAAATAATGAATAAATAAATAAAATCACTAAAATAACAGCTACACTAATAATATAATGCAATTTCGAATAAATAATTATAAATGTTTTTTTTATCAAATGATATATTTCAGGTGCTGTTTATGATCTTATCCCCCTTCCTCAATGCCTCAACAAAAACATAACGCGTTTGTGATATCTCGTTTTAACCAAAGCTTAGTTCACCTACAGGAAATACGAAAGTTCTGTCATCATTTATTCACTCTCATACCGTTCTAAACCTGAATGACTTTCATTCTTCTGTAAAACACAAAAGAAGATATTTTAAAGAACGCTGGGAACCAAACAACATTGGAGCCCATTGACATGCATTGTAAACACTGAGACTTTTCTCAAAATACCTTCTTTTGCGTTTAACAGAAGAAAGAAAGACAAACAGTTTTGCAACGGCATGAGGGGTAAGTAAATGATGACAAAAATGAACATTTTTGGGTGAAGTATCCATTAGTCAAAAGACTTTTTCTTAGAGAGTAAACGCTATGTTAAGCTAATTAGCTAAGCTATTTGAAAACACAAAGTTAAATGTTAAATGCTTTGGTAATATATGTAATTTAAATGACAAGTTAATTTTTTATGGTCAAGAGAAAATACATTAAAGGGTTAGTTCACCCAAAAATGAAAATTCTGTCATTAATTACTCACCCTCATGTCGTTCTAAACCTGTAAGACCTCCGTTCATCTTCAGAACACAAATTAAGATATTTCTGATGAATTCCGAGAGCTCTCTGACCCTCTTATAGACAGCAATGTAAGTAACACGATCAACGTCTAGAAACGTAGCAAGGAGATCGGTAAAATAATCCATGTGATTTCAGGGGTTCAACCGTAATTTTACGAAGCTACGAGAATAATTTTTGTTGCCAAAGAAAACAAAATAACGACTTTATTCAACAATTCGTCTCCTCCGCGTCACCCTGGTGCCATTTTGTAAAAAGCGTATGCTATTCTGTGTCAGCTGCGTCACGCGGATACGTTGTTTTCGTTCAAATCAAAGCGTAAACAACGTAGAAAACGTATCCGCGTGACGCAGCTGACACCGAATAGCATACGCGGTTTACGTTGAGTGGATATTCTCCAAAATGGCACCAGTGTGACGCGGAGGAGACGAATTGTTGAATAAAGTCGTTATTTTTGTTTTCTTTGCGTACAAAAAGTATTCTCGTAGCTTCGTAAAATTACGGTTGAACCCCTGATGTCACATGGATTATTTTACCGATCTCCTTGCTACGTTTCTGGACCTTGTTCGTGGTAATTACATTGCTGTCTATGGGAGGGTCAGAGAGCTCTCGGAATTCATCAAAAATATCTTAAATTGTGTTCCGAAGATGAACGGAGGTCTTACGGGTTTAGAACAACATGAGGGTGAGTAATTAATGACAGAAATTTTGGGTGGACTAACCCTTTAAAGACTTCATGATGTATTTTTCTAAATCATGAAAAATGACATTTTTGTCTTTTTCTAATCAGGCACTGAATTGGACACATATAAAAAGTTGTCTCAGGTAATACAATGGCTTTGGGGGGAAAAGGGGGACAGAATCTCACACAACACAATCAACTCAAAAGGAAAGATGTTTCAGAGGCGGTTGATGAAAGATTAATAAGACAGTATTGTTCTTTGGAATAACTTGAAGAGAAAGCAGGCAAGACTTTACAGAGGGAGCATTCACAATCTCTCTCACACCGAGGACTCACAGAGACAAGCCGCTGCTATCAGTCTCACGGCATCGTACGGAGGCTGACAGGTTGGGAAGAGCGCTTCCACCAGGTAGTTGGCAAACGTCAGCGAGATGACCGCCTGGCTGGCTGGCTCGACCAGCAGGATGGATGTCCACAGCCGAATGAAAGCAAGGAAACCCCCGAAGGCCTCCAGGATGTACACATAACTAGCGCCAGACTTTGTGATAGTGGTTCCAAGTTCTGCGTAACACAGTGCGCCAAAGACAGAAAATATTCCCCCGAGAGCCCAGATGACCAGCGAAAGACCGTAGGAGGCGCTGTACATCAACACACCTTTGGGCGACACAAAAATGCCCGAGCCAATCATGTTGCCCACAATTAAGCAGATGCCGTTAGTGAGAGAAATCTCCCTCCTCATGATCATCTTCTCCTCCGGCGCGTCTAGACCATTGCAGGCTCCAGCCGGTTTCTTCAGGTCCAGGTCTCCCCGTGACCCCGGACAGAGTTTTTGGCCTAAAGCCATCAGTTTTTTCATGCTGAAGGAACAAGTCAACAATTATTACAACTGTAATCACTGGTAAAACTCGTTAAACTTTGTTGATGATGTTTTTGTTTGGCATTAACATCCCAGATATCTTGCTTTGTTTCCGACTAATTTGTAGAACGCAAAATGACTGGCATTTTTACTTCTGTAACAAAGCAGCTTTCAGAACAACCAAACTATTTAGTCTACAGATCTGTCTATACCATATTTTAGAACGTAACAAATTTGTGATTGGCATTAAATATTATATAATATACACAAATATTGGTGGCACTTAACAATAAGGTTCCATTTGTTAATACTAGCCGACTACATTAATCAACATAAACTAACAGTTAAAAAATATTTCTGTAGCATTTATTTATCATACTTTCTTAATTTTAACATTTAATAATACATTTTAAAAATTAAGCTTTTCTATTAATTCTAATAATTAAATATATATATATTACTGATGTAAAATATAACTATATATATATATATACACACATACATATATACACACACACACACAAATATTAAGAAATAATGCAACAAATGCATTGCTCATTTTTAGTTAATGCATTAACTATTAACTACGACTTTTCCTCAATAAACTCCTAATTTGCTGCTTATAAATATTTCGTAAGATAGTTGTTAAGTTTAGGTCTGGGGTCATACAGAATAAGGCATTGATATGTGCTTTATAAGTACTAATAAACAGCCAGTATGCTAATAATATGCATGCAAATAAACAACTAGTTACTAGTTAGTGAGAATTGCTCCCTAAAGTGTTACCATAAATTTAAATTAAACTAAGATTAATAAATGCTTTAGAAGTATTTTGTCACCAATATTCCAGTATTTAATGTTTTACAAATGAGTTTGGGGAACAGTTTAATCAAAAACAGCTTGAAGTTAATTTCATTTTTAATTAATAACGACACTAATAATAGAAATCGCTTCAAATTTAGATATTTCACAAACAGGCAATGCCCTTACTAACCCTTGGCGACTGTAGGGCCACTAGTTCGGGGTCTTATTTAATATATTTAAATATCGTGCCAAAAACAAACTGTACTTTACCTTTAATCATGTCAGAAGGAATGCTGTGGAAAAAAATGAAAATGAATTGTGTAGAGGAAGAGAGTAGAGTTATGCAAGTTTCCAGAGTGATGGTGATCCTGGTCAGAATGAAGAAAGCTAGACTGTCAGAGTGAAACAGGTGTCGCAATCCCAGACCCTGATGTGTTTTTCCACCGGAGGCGAAATGGCTTCTTGAGTTGCCCTGTCTATTTTAAGAGGCCTGTACTGAGAGAGAGAGAGACAGAGAATGCCTGTCCCCTCCTATTGATAGCAAAAGTAGCTCCGCAAAACCCTGTTGAACTAAAGCTTGCCTTTGTTATCTGATCTGTTCCAGCTCTGGCATCAGAATTCAGTTTAAAGACAGGCTGTTTCCCCATTATTAGAGCTGTTTGCTAAGACAATCAGCACTATTGCTATGAACCCTCTAACTTCAAGTATTAAACTTGCGCAACTCGTTCTGCACAGTTTGTGCAACACGCATAAATAACACCTCAACTTGTGAAGCTTACTGAGGAGATACTTATTCAATGATCCAACACGGCATGCAGTTGCATCAAACAATGGTATAAACATCATTCAATGTAAATTGTGATAATCGTAATTAATAATCGCAATTACAATTTCAAGGGAATAATCGACAATTATGATTTTTGTCATAATCGTGCAGCCCTAATCCAACCCCACAAGAGTCATTTTTACCTGGCAGATGATAAAATCGATGAAAAGTCTCAGTGTTAAACATTTATCAGGGCCTGTATTCACAAACATCTTTTGTCTCATCAATAGGAGTTCTTAAAGTGCCCCTATTATGCCATTTTTACGGTTCCTAATATTGTTTTGGGAGTCTCCTACAATAGGATTACATGCATGCAAGGTCAAAAAAACGCTTTCGTTTTCTCAAAATATGCATTTAATATCACCTCATTTTCCAGCGATTCTCAAACGATTCGTTCGAAGCAGTTCAAAGATTCAGTCTCTCTAAACCCCTCCTTTCCGTGAGCCTGCTCTGCTCTGATTGGTCAGATAGCCTAGTCTGTTGTGATTGGTCTACAGCGTACAGCGCGTTTCGGAAATGATACGCCTATTTCAATGGTTCTGTATTTTGAACGCTCTATAGAAAATATAAACATCTATTATTTATCATACTTACAGGTTGTGATTCAGTGGAGCAGCTGGTCCAAATAAACAGGATACTGATCATTCTTTCAATAGCAAGCGTTTTGTGAATCCCGCGTTGAACTCGCCGAGATTAGAGAAGCAGTCGTCAGTAGAATGACGTTTGTGGGCGGGGTCAAGTTGTTCGCGGCCGGCCAACGCAGAACATAGGCGCGCATTATGCAAATGTGTTACATCGTGACGTGTAGCCGTCACGGAAGTGGGATTCGAATTCGAATACTAACGACTCGGTTCAGCTGTTCAGTCGATTCTTTATTTTGGGAGACAATAACTTTATTTATTGTGCACTTTGCAGATCGTTTACATTCACATACAGCTACATTACACACTGCATGAAAGGCAATATTGGAAATGGTATAATAGGGGCACTTTAAAAGAGTGTTTGCTTAAAACCTGTTTACAAAACTACGAAGAAGTCTTGCTTACCGCTAATGACAGGTTAGCTCAGAATAGCAAGGTCATCAATCGACAGAAAAAGGCTGAAACGTCCTTTGGTGTGACAGAAAATGTCCTCCGGTGTGACGCCTGTACTGTCACACCACAGGACAAAGACGTCACACCAGAGGACAAGGTCTCTTTAAAAAGCATTTTAAATAATTAAATAAGCTTTGTTTAACTCCTTTTTATTCTTTTTGATCATTGTCAGTGCTTAAATGCAATAATTACATTAATTCAACTATTTTCTGATGTTTTTACAGAAAACTTGTACTGTTATTTTCTACTTATTTTCATGACGGTTTATGAGATACTTTGTTTTTGAGACAGAAAGAATTGAGGGAGAGAAATTAGCGGAAGAGAGAGGACACGGAAATATATATAGAAAATTAACAGGGATCCACTAGAAGGGAGGAGATTCTAAGAGAACGATGCAGAAAGTAAATAGAATCAAAATTATGCCTTAAAAAGAGTAGCCATATTTAAAAATAATAATAATATAGTTTGAATATCAATCATCAAACAATCAATGTTTAAAACTTAAATTAAACTTTTTTTCTCCTTTGACATGTTCAAAATTAAATAGAAATAATTTAATAACTACCATTTCTGTCCTTTAGTGTGACGTAATGTCCTATGGTGTGACGCATAAAAGAACCACAGAATTTTCAATAGTAAACTTTGTAAACAGTAAATTTTGAAAGAGTTGCTCGTAAATTTCAGATACAGTACATTTTTAGTACTCCCACCCCCCCAAATTTGTTTGTGAATATGGCCCCAGATATCACAGAGACCAATAATTCTAATGCAAATCAATGAGGAAATGGCTTTTGTAGGTAATAACAGATTTCAAAAGCACATTATTGTTGAGAGAGGTCACGCTTAATCCAGATTAGTACCAACTATCGTGTAAACAGTTCAGGAATTGAAGAGTTCAGAATGTACTTTCAGGTAACACAAAAACAAGAAACCCCACACATTCAGGAAATTATACACATTTTAATAACACTTCAAAGTTGACCATTGTTGTGGAAGTTCCTCACACAGTACCAGAGCACAGATGTATGCTACTTGTACACTGCTACATGTGCTATACATTATTTTCATTTTATATTAGATGACAAGCCATTTAGATCTTACGTCTAAGAGCTTCAAGGCAAAAAAAACGAACATTGATATCAATAGTAGTCATTTCAAAGAAATCCCTAGCCTGTGTGAATTTAAATGTGATATGAACAAAAATGCAACATTTTCTGCATCCAGACCTAACAAGCCCATTAGGCATTTCAGTATTTGTCTGATATATTGCTGAGATGAGTGCTAAAGTATATTCAGCCTCTGAATAATCGAAAGATGCATTCAGCCTCATAGCATCACCGGATTGACACAGCACTTAGAAGCAAGTGATATTTTCAAAACTATATATATATAACATTACAAACCACTTAAGATGCATGTAAATTATCACCAAGAAACTCTATAAATAAATACAAAACAATAACAGACCACAAATACTCTTTATATTGTAAATGGTCCCAAACCCTGGACAGTCAACATAAAAATCTGTAATAAAAAGGCCGTTCCTTTCTGCTCAAAAAATTTAAATATTAACTAAAAATCTGATTCTTGCATTGATAACAAGTCAATAACATCAAACACCAACAGCAAGACGGGTTTCCGACACGAACCAAAATCAAATCCAAAACTACAGCATGACCGATTTAGAGAAGGAATCATAAAACAACCAATTTCAGGGCATTCCAGAGGACTAACGTAATCAATCTAGGGAAAATACATCATCTCTGTAACGACAAGGTCTCTAAAACAATGTCTGTCTGCACAGACGGGAAGTCTACAGCGCAGACACATGCAAAACCCACCAGCACAGGAATTCAATGCCTGAAAACACTGAAAAAGAGAAAACATAGCAAAACACTTATCAAATGCTTCATTTAATCAAGTACATGACTGGCTCATCGGTCAAGCAAAAAAATATCAAAGCATCAGCACAAATTTAATTCAGCATTATGAATTTCAGTTTGAGTATCCACTGAGCGTAAACAGCGTATGCTATTCTGTGTCAGCTGCGTCACGCGAATACGTTTTCTACGTTGTTTATGCTTTGATTTGAAAGAAAACAACGTATCCGCGTGACGCAGTTGACACTGAATAGCATACGCTGTTTACGTTTACGTTCAGTGGATATTCTCCAAAATGGTGCTAGGGTGGAGACGGGAGGAGACGAATTGTTGAATAAAGTCTTTTTTTTTTCTTTGCGTACAAAAAGTATTCTCGTAGCTTCGTAAAATTACGGTTGAACCCCTGATGTCATGTGGATTATTTTACCGATCTCCTTGCTACGTTTCTGGACCTTGATCGTGGTAACTGCATTGCTGTCTATGGGAGGATCAGAGAGCTCTCAGAACTCATCAAAAATATCTTAACTTGTGTTCTGAAGATGAACGGAGGTCTTACGAGATTAGAACGACATGAGGGTGAGTAATTAATGACAGAATTTTAATTTTTGGGTGAACTAACCCTTTAAAGATCAGTAGAGCCGATATTTACAGTGCTAGCTTTAGGCATTCCCTTTGGTTTAGTTTCTTAATAACTTCAAACTTAAAACATAGGAAGCATAATTAACATTGGAAATCAAAACTTCGAACAACATGGCAAACAATTGCTGGTCTAAACTGGCGACGGTTGTAGAAACAGTAGCACTCAATACTAATTGTTCCTTGATAAAAGCGTCTTGCCAGTAGCATTTCTTTCAAATCTATCCAGATGTGATGTAAACATCAGTATATTCAATACAGCTGCTTCATGCTAGAGACTATTTTATGTATTAAAAGTGCTGTAAACTGTCCTCTGTCTGCTGCTACATCTGGAGTCAATGATAACAGTGCAAACATACTGTAGATGGCACAATACTTACTAAGAAAGCACTTATCCAAGACACTTATCTAAGCTGAAGTGTGAACAACTCTGGGCCGCATACGGTTACTGGTTATCCTATTTATTATTGAGTTAATGCTCTTGACTATGGAAACCCGTTTCCGCCACTGAATAAAAAAGGTTATTTCGACTTTTTATCTCACAATTCTGACTTTTTTTCTAGGGATTGCGTGATACAAACTCGCAATGCTGACTTTTTTTTCTCAGAATTGTGAGATATAAACTCGCAATTGCGAGTTATAATGTCGGAATCGTGAGATAAAAACTCAAAATTCTGACTTTTTTTCTCGCAAATGCAACTTTTCTCTCAGAATTGTGAGATATTAACTCACAATTGCAAGTTATAAAGTCCAAATTTTGAGGCGAAAAAAGACTGATATGTTCTCAGAATTGCGAGTTTATACCTCACAATTCTGACTTAACTCACAATCGCGTGTTATAGTCACAATTGCGATATAAACTCGCAATTCTGACTTTATTTCTCAGAATTGCGAGTTTGTCTCACAATTCTGACTATAACTTGCAATTGCGAGTTTAAATCACGCAATTCTAAGAAAAAAGCCTGAATTGAGAGTTCTCTCACAATTCTGACTTTATAACTCGCAATTGTGAGTTTATCTCTCACAATTCTGAGAGAAAACGTCAGAATTGAAAGATGTAAACTCGCAATTGCAAGAAAAAAAGTCAGAATTGCGAGATGTAAACT